TTGTGTATGGTATAAGAAAATAGTCCCTTTTCATTCTTTTGCATGAGTTCTCCACTTTTTCCAACACCAGTTATTGAAAATGCTCTTTTCCCCATCACATATTTATGCCTCCTTTTTGTAATTTAATTGATCATATGGTGTGGATTTATTTCTGGGCTTTCTATCTCATTCCATTATCTATGTGTCTATATCCATGCCAGTACCATACTGTTTTGATTAATGTAGCTTTGTAGTATATCTTTAAACCTGGGCATTGTGATACCTCCTTCTTTGTTTTTCTTTCTCAAGATTGCTTTGGCTATTAAAGGTCTTTTGTGGTTCCAAATACATTTTAGAATTAATTGTTCAAGTTCTGTGAAAAATGCCAGTCTTATTTTGATAGGGATTGTATTGAATCTGTATATTGCTTTGGGTAGTATAGACATATTAACAACACAATTCTTCCAATCCATGAGCACAGTATGTCCTTCTGTTTATTTATGTTGTTTTGAATTTATTTCATCCATATTTTATAGTTTTCAAAATACAGATCTTTTACCTCCTTGATTAAATTTATTTCTTGGTACTTTATTCTTTTTGGTGCATGAGATTGCTTTCTTCATTTATTTTTCTCCTACTGTATTATTAGTGTATAGAAATGTAACAAATTTCTATATGTTAATTTTGTATCCTGCAACTTTACTGAATTTATTTATCAATTCTAATAGTTTTTTGGTTGTGTCTTTAGGATTTTCTGTATATAGTATCATGTCATCTACAAGTAGTGATGATCACTTCTTTCTTTTGATGCTACAGATTTTGATCCTTCTTTTCTTTTTTTTTGTCTAATTGGTATAGCTAGGACTTCCAGTACTATGTTGAATAAAAGTGGTGAGACTGGACATCCTTGTCTTATTCCTGATCTTAGAGGAAATGTTTTCAGTTTTCAATATTAGGTATAATGTCTGTTGTGGGTTTTTCATATATGGCTTTTATTATGTTAAACTGTGTTCCTTCTAAACCCATTTTGTTGTGAGTTTTTATCATGAATGGGTGTTGCATTTTGTAAAATGATCTATTGAAATGATCATATTGCTTTTTATCTTTCCTTGTGTTAATATACTTTAATCATATTGATTGATTTGCAAATATCAGACCATTCTTGCATCCCTGGAATAAATCTCACTTGATGGGTGAATTATTTTTGTTAATGTATTGAATTCAGTTTGCTTATATTTTTTGAGGATTTTTGCTTCTCTGTTCTTCAGAAATATCAACCTGTAGTTTTCTTTTTCGTATAGTGTCTTTCTCTAGTTTTGGTGTCAGGATAATGCTTGTAGAATGAATTTGGATGTTTTCTTTCCCTTTCTATATTTGGAATAGTTAGAGAGAATAGGTGTTAACTCTTCTTTAAATGTTCAGTAGAATTCACCTGTGAAGCCATCTGGTCCTAGATTTTGGTTTGTTGAGAATTTTTTGATTGCCAATTCATTGCTAGTAAAGGGTCTGTTCAAATTTCCTATTTCTTCCTGATTCAGTTTTGGAAGTTTGCATGTGTCTAGACATATATCCATTTCTTCTAGTTTGTCCAGCTTGTTGGTACATAATTTTTCATAATATTGTTATTTATAATGTTTTGTATTTCTGTGGTGTCAGTTGTTATAGCTCCTCCTCCATTTCTGATTTTGAGTCCTCTCTCTCTTTTTTTTTTCCTTGAGAAGTCTAGCTAAAGTTTTCTCAGTTGGTTTATTTTTTTTTTAAGAACCAGCTCTTGGTTTCATTGATCTTTTCTGTTATTTTTGCAGTCTCTTTCATTTATTTCTTCTCTAAGTTTTATTATTTCTTTCCTTCTACTAGCTTTGGGCTTTGTTTGTTCTTTTTCTAGCTCCTTTTGGTGCAAAGTTAGGTTATTTATTTGAGATTTCTCTTGTTTCCTGAAGTAGGCCTGTATGCCTATGAACTTGCCTCTTAGAACTGCTTTTGCTACATCCTGAAGATTTTAGACCCTTGTGTTTTCATTTTCTTTTGTCTTTGTGTATTTTTAAAAATTCCCTCTTCAATTTCTTTGCTTAGTAGCATATTGTTTGACTTCCATGTGTTTGTGTCTTTTCTAGTTTTTTCCTTGTAATTGATTTCAAGTTTCATACCATCATGTTCAAAAAAGATGTTTAATATGATTTCAGTCTTCTTAAATTTATTGAGACTTATTTTGCAGCATAATATGTGGTGTATCCTGGAGAATGTTTCATGTGTACTTGAAAAGAATGTATATTTGGTTGTTTTGGATAGAATGTTCTGTATCTATCTATTAGGGCCATCTGGTCTAATGTGGCTTTCAAAACCACTGTTTCCTTGTTGATCTAACCATTGATGTAAGTGAGGTGTTAAAATCCCCTACTATTGTATTACTGTCAATTCCCTTTCTATGTCTGGTAACATTTTCTTTGTGTATTTAGGTGCTCCTATGTTGGATGTGTAGATATTTACAATTATTATATCCTCTTGTTGGACTAATCTCTTTACATTATGTAATGCCCTTTTTGCCTCTCGTTACATGTTTTAAAGTCTACCCCATTTAAAAAAAAAACTACCCTAGCTTTTTTTTTGTTCCATTTGCATGATGTATGTTTCATCCCTTCACTTTCAATCTGTATGTAAGGAAGTCTCTTATAGACAGCATATAGATGGGTCTTATTTTTGTTTTTGTTTTTTATCCATTCAGTCAGCTTGTCTTTTGATTGGAGCATTTATTCCATTTACACTTAAAGTAGTTATTGATAAGTATGTACTTACTACCATTTTTAAATTGTTGTCTGGTTGTTTTTATAGTTCCTGTTCCTTTTTCTTCTCTTGTTCTCTTCATTTATGGTTTGATGGCTTTCTTTAGTGTTATGCTTGGATTCCTTTCTCTTTATTTTTTGTGTATCTCTTATAGGCTATAATAGATATAGGACCATTAGGATCCTTTATGACATCTTATGTATATAGCAATATATAGTAAGTTGATGGTCACAAGTTCAAACACATTCTAAAAGTACTAAATTTTTGCCTTTAGGTATCAGTTTAATACACCTTATCCATCCAAGGCTTTGGCATTTGGTGCAGCCAATGATCACTTTTCATATCTTCCTAAGTCTGTATTTCTCAAAATGACCACCCAGTCATAGGTGCCTGGAAAGGTTATTGAAAATGAACATTCCTGGGCACTGACACTTGAGTCTTTCAGATTAAGTTGAGCTGAACTGGAACTCAGGAATTTGCATTTTTAAGAAGCACCCCAAGGAATTTGCATGCACACTTAAGTTTAAAAATCAGTTCCCCTAAGTATAAATTATTGTGCTGGGGGCATGGTACTTCCAGATTCCCAAACAATAAATGGTAGAAGAGGGTCAGAGATAAGATCAGAGTATAAGAGAATTAATATTATACAGTGAATATAATATTCACTCACTTTGTTTTAGCCAGTGGCAAGTAGTTACCTGCTTCTCTTTCACCTCTTGTCTTTTCTGAAAGGTCAACAAACTTTCCACTTAAAGAATCCTCTTCTTAAAATTAGTTTCAAAGTCAATGTGGAAGGGTGATGGCAGTGGAGGGAAAGGGAAGTAATAGAGGTTGTGGATTTATAGGAAAAATAATTGCCTTTATTTTTTTCTCAAAATGTGCATGGAGTTTGGGGAAAATAAGGTGATTCTGATGTTTACTATATTAACTATTCAGATGAATTGGACTTTTTAGTGTAAGTACCTTTCCAGCTAAGAAGGAAAGCCAGTGTTCAATACAACTTAAAACACATCCATTAGATTTTTAAATATATTTAAGAGTTTTGATATGCTTTCCGAATTTGCTTTTTCTATTTTCTTCCATTTTTGAATCTCACTGTATTCTGGAATGTTGATTTTCTTTTTCTTTTTAAAATCCAGTCCACTTTTGTATACAAAATACAGTTTCTGCCCTAAGGCTAAGAATGTTCTAGGTGAACTAATCAATCAATTTTTGCCCATTAAAAAGTAGCACTAAAATAAAAAGAATGCTAACCTTTAGATGGATTTGGTAGCAGTTTGTTAAATAGGTTTTGTTGTTGTTGTTTTGGGGGGGATTTTTTTTTTTTTTTTAAATAGCAAAACAGCAAGAAGAAAAGCAATCTTACACCTTAAAAGGAGGAAAAGTTCCCAGGTCCCAGGGACATGTGTGACATTTAAGGAAAACTTTTTCAAATCTTGAAGTATTGATCAATCATAGCATCACTTGGTGGTGGTGGTGTTATTTTAAATTAAGTTTTTCTCGCCCAAGTTAGAAGGTATGCATATTTGAAATGTAAAATAAATGCTTTTGCAAAGGAAACTAGGAACATGGCATGCTGTTCAGCTTAACTGAACACCTAACTCAGCAACAGCTTTTGCACAGTGCTGTTCAAAATACCTTCCTTCAATTTTCAGACTCCTAGGCTTATAGAATTGATAGGGTAACTGATTTATTTTGTAGGATGTGAAGCTTCCAACTTGTTATTTCCAAGTTTGGGGTGTTATATGACTGAACCTGTTGATAATGTGTGCTCTTCCAGCCCAGCTGTTAAATTAGAGCAGTTCATGAAGAAAAATGAGATACGATGTTGCATTTCATGAAACAGGGTGTTTCGGCAAAAGAGAAAATTTTCTTCACTGTGGAGAGAGATAAAAAAAGACGTAGTGGTTCAGAGATCTTCAAGATGTTGAAAGTTAAAGAAAATAATAAAGTTTTACAACTACAGTGTCTTGACAACCACAGTTGTTTTTATTCCAGTCTATTGACGGATGCTTTTCCTTGGCCGAACATATTCCTAATTTAATAGTGGAATTAAACAGAGCAACTAGATTCAGGTTAGAACCCAACTTGGCTTAAACCATTCTATTCCTTCAAGCAAGAGAAAATGAAATGGGGATTTACTAAATTAATAGACATACCATAGCTAGTTCAATGCAGTATCATGGTGGCAAATGTGAGAAGTAATAGAAAATTAATCCATTTCTCTTTGCTTTTTTCAGATTTTGGCCACACAAGCCAACCTTCTCCAAGGTAAGCAACATTATACTCTTCTCTGATTTGTTGGAAAAACCCAGCATAATTTTATTGGCTTTGGATATATTTTAATGGTATGGTGTTTCAAAGTTGTGAGTGTGACATTCAAATGGTGCCTAAAATTATTCTCTTGTTGGTGGTGTTAGTGATGAGAGCACCCTACAGATATGATTTGATGGCTAGACCAAGCAGTAGACCAGAAGGAGGGAGGCAGACAGAGAGAGGGAGAGAGAATGGGGCCACAGAGAGGGAGTCTCTCTCTCTCTCTCTCTCTCTCTCTCTCTCTCTTTTTGCTTGATTAGCTCTTTTATGAGACAGCAGACTCTTGGTTTCTGATATGCAGAGACAGAAGGTTTCTTTGTGAGCAGCAGCTGTGGCAGGGCTTGCCTCTCCTAGAGCCTACTTTGGAGAAATTAAAAGCAGAGTGCCCCTCAGCATGGCCCCAGCTCTTCAACTCAGCCGAGGCCTTCCTGTCCAGGTCCAGCAGGACAGCAGTAGCCAAATGGTTTAACTTTCTAGGAGTATCTGTCCAAAGTAGCAATTGAGGATGCATTAATCTTATTAGAGAACACAATAGGAATCCTTTTTTTTTTTTTATTTCATTAGGAAATCAGGATGCATTTGATGTGCACCATCTGGTTTGTGAATACAGGAATAAGTTTTTCAAAAGGGCACATTTCCAAGTTCTATGTTTCATATGCTTCAGAAGTAAAAACCCATAAACAGCTCTATTTTTAATGAGAGCAATGCTAAAGTTAATAAGATTGGGGTGGATTTCCAGTATGTGCCATTTCTCCTAAACTACATGTGTTTGCAGTACGTTTGGCAGACTTGTCCTGTTTCGAGGCTGGGCTTCCAATTGAAAAATTTTAAAGTTCTCCATGTGTTAATTGGAAAATAGGAGAGAGGCATTATTGTAGTAAGCAGCTGGCTCCTTAGGTATTAATTATAGCTCCATCTATCATAAAGACTAGTATTTTAAAATTACCTCCTGTTATTTATTACATTAGTTTTAGGAACTGTAACTTTTGAAATCATACCAAAAAATCAAGTTAAACTTTACTAGTGGTATTGTATTTTTTTAAATGTCTTTTAAGATGTAGTCATTGTTTATAAATAGAAAGTAGTAACAAAACAGTGAGAAAATACAGTTTACTACTGGTACTCTATGCCATGTCCTTAATATATGCTTTTAACCCAAGTAAAAATATAGTTCTGGAATGTAGCCATTTCACTCTACATTCTAGCTCATACAGGAACATCTTTGGATCAGAAAAGCTGCTTTAGAGGACTAATTCCTTCAGCTTCCGACGTAATTTTTGATATTCTATATAGTAACAAACATGATTTGTGAAGCAATGTGATGCTCTCCTTAACCTCTCAGTAATTGGAGGCATCTTCTGTATGTATTCCACAAGTCCGGCTCAGGCTGATGAAGGAAGCATAATTACATTACAGGCAATCTCATCTAAGGTAATTACAATTGTTGCCATCAATCCAATTAAAGAGGATAACCAGCTCTACTGAGTCAGAGGCATAAAGCTTTCCAACTAAGTCCAGGCTTTGGGATACAGGCATGATTGAGGATTTTGAGAATTTTCATTTGCCAAAATACTGTTGCTTATTAAAATAGATAACAATGTTGAGAGCGAGGGGGTATGGGCAGAAATTGCATATCAGTAGTTTTTTTTTTTTTTTCATCTGCTAATAACTTTCTTATTTGTAAGCACAGAAATCAGAATAGATTCTCAACACCAAAGCTCCAGGCCACACAAAATATTTATGAAAAGATTAACACAGCATCACAACACTGTAATAGTTCACTGTATACTTCTGGCTTCTTATCCTAAATCGGCTCTCCATTCAGTTGTTCCTTTGGAGACCTTCTGTCTTTTCCACTTAGAGATACAGTACGCCATCTCCTGAACTCCATCTCTGTCTTTATACTGTATAGAAGAAGCTGCCTTGAGTAACACCTCCCTGGAAGCTCTCACGGTTTTATCTGGGGTCAGTGTGTGTTGCTATGTCAAATATTTCTAAGAATTACAGAAGCATAATGGCAAATGGATATGATGCCCTTCTTAAAGACTTCACCTCCATCTGTGTGGTCCAGACCAGCATATAAACTTTAGATATAGGACCCAGTGACTAGGAAATGAGAATGATGTCACTCACTGTGACTATGATTTAGAAGGGGCCAAGAGAGATTGTATATGTCTGCTTTGGATGATATACTACATGAAGATAGTGGTGTTTTCTTTGTTTATTCAGTTTGAAAAGATGTAGGAGATAAATTTCTTAGTCAGGGGGCGGGAGGGGAGAATTTACTATCTAAGACCAATGGTTCCCTTGGTCACCACTTGGCATTCTTTCAGTGTTTCACACCCTGGCTTTTCTATTTTATATGCAGAACCATCCACCTACTTGATCATTTCCTTCTCATATATTTTCATGCTCTCCCATGGCCACCCGTGCTCCATGTCACTCTTGGATGCCACTTTTCTTTGTTGATGTTGAGAATTCCAACCTGCTTTAGAACTTACCTCCAGGGAACCAGTTCACCATGGAAGTGGAAGAGGGGCCAGAGAAAGGACTAGGTAGGAAGAGAGCTGGGCTCAGCTTTCTGTTTCTCTGCTAACCAGATCGGAGACACTGAACAAGCCACCAAAGCTAGCAGAGTCCCAGTTTCCTCATATTTTAACATCTGTTCTGCAACCTTGTGGTAAAGAGTATCTCAAATGAAATTATAAATGTGAGAAAAGTCCTTCATAACATATACATACAAATGTGAGGGATTATATATACATATGTCTAGTATTATTAAGCCCACTCCACTTTGGTCATTTCTTTCTGTTGATTCCTTCAGCCCCTGCAATTTAAACGGTAATTCTTAAAATGCCCTACTTCTATTCCTTGGTTTGCTGTTTCTACACTCCCTGTTTCCCATTGAGTGTTTAAGAAACCCGAAGGCTGGCACCATGTTGCTTACTTCTTTTCTGTTTTTCTTAACATTTAATTTGTTCTCTGACTGCCTGCCCTAGGATGATATGTTGAGGTATTGTGCGGTGTTTGTTCTCCCCTTGGTTTTCCTCCCACCACTGCAAGTACGTGGCCCAGCTTGGGTCTGAAGGAAACATGCTGCGGTATTAGACAATAAGCATATAAAGGGCCAGGGTAGGAACTAAAGGCCAGAAGCCCTCTCCATTGCTTTGACAATAACTAAAACCATGGTCAGATGCTGAAGGATGGAGAGGAGGAGGCTTCAGTAATAACCGAGGTTAGATTTCTCATCTGTCTTGTAACAGACATCAGGAACAAAATTAACTTAATTTTTTAAAAAAGATTTTATTTGTTTATTTGAGAGAGAGACAGTGGGAAAGAGAATGAGATCACAAGCAGTGAGGGAAGGGGAAAGGGAGAAGCAGACTCCCCACTGAGGCGGGAACCCAATGAGGGACTCAATCCCAGGACCCTGGGATCATGACCTGAGCTGAAGACAGACATTTAACCAACTGAGCCACCCAGGTACCCCAAATTAATTTGATTTTTAACCAATGAAGAAATGAGACATTTTGTGCACATATAAGTTTTTGCACTAAAGTTTTACATAAAAAATGATCAAGGTATAATTGTTATTACAGAATATAATTCCTAAAAAGATTCTAGAACCTGTTCGGTCACATAAAAATAAAGCCTTGAAAGAACAATAGAGCCTAGAAGATCTTGAGCTACTTAACTTCTTAGGAGTAGAGGGGATGGTATCCCCTCACCTGCTGTATTCTGTTGGTTACACAGACCAACTCTGATGCAGTGCAGCAGGGAACTACACAAGGTCACCAATAACAAGAAACAGACTATCCTGGAGGCTGACTTCATATCTACCTTGATTTTGCCCCCTTTATCTATAGGTATTTCAAGGAAAACTGGTGTCCCTATGATGGTGGTTTGAATATGATCGAGAATGCAATTTCTTGGTTAGATGGTGATATGGTATCCATTTATTTTACTAACCTCTTCCTGGCCATTGAGTGTGTGAGCTATTGAAACAAAAGCCTACTGGTGATCCTCACTGGAATCCTCAAGGCCCAACCATGAGCCATGTGTCCAACTCAAGTTCTAAAGGTAGATTCTGGCAATGGGAATTTCGATCACTAAGCACAAACTGTGGGATCTGGACTCTGGTACTATTCTTGCTACTGCGTTGTAGTTTCCCCATCTCTAAAATCTAAGAGTCAAGGGAAATGATCTATGTTGTACCATCTGGTGCTAACATGTATAAAATTCTAAGATTCAAAATTCTTTAAATCAAATGATAAGGATCACGTCAGATGTTCTTGGTGGAGATGAGGTCAAGGGTCTTAGGATATATTTAGTTGACTTGGGGAGAGTAAAGCTTTATTCTTCTTTTTTTTAAAGTACATGAAAATCATCTCTGTTTCCTTCACTCAGTACCACATCTTGTAATTGACTCTCAAGAGGGCATTTCCAGCATGCCATTTTGGACTTAACTGGTGTGGATAGATCACAGATCAACAAATTAACAAACAAACACAGATGGCCAAAAAACAGCCTTATAAATTTCACGCTCTCTCAATTTATACTTCTAGAACCCAAGACCCGGAAAGGTTAAGATATTGTCCTAAGGTGACAAAGCAAGTTTGTGGCAGCAGATTGCAATAGGGCATGCCTGAATCCTTGTCCTCTTCTACACATCGACTATACCAAGCTGTTGGAGTATTTTTTCTCTATTTACTATAAGTAAATGTATGCTTATCTTTTATTTAAACAAACACACATGTCAAGAAGTAGAGAATTATTGGTTTCAATGGGACAGTGCCAATGTGTTTAAGAAAGTGTATTCATTAAACAAACAAACAAAAAAAGATACTTTCAGGGAATAGCACAGGCTCAATTACAATATAATTCCCTATTTTGTGAATCTTACAAGTAAGAAATCCTGTTCTTACATGAAGAAGCTTCTTTGGAGAACCATGCGG